TTTAAATTATAAATTATAATTTTAATTGTAAATTTAATGGTTAAATTATTAATTGTTTCGTAAATTAAATTGTTATTTCAATTTGCAATTGTTTACAATAATAATGTTTACAATAATAATGTTTACAATAATAATGTTTTTGTCCACTGACTTATAGGCCAACTTGTATAATTTTTTCTCTTTTTTTTTTTAATTATAAAGGAAAAAAAACATAATTTGAATAAAAGAAATGCAAATTTTTAAAGAAAATTTTCATTTTGAACGTAACGATCGGTTGTAAATATTAGATAAACATCAATAAAGTCGATTATAAAAAAACACCGATAATATTGACAAAGATTGAGAAAGATAAATCGGTGAATCGTCGTATCAATCGAATAGTCGAGGAAAAGGCAGATCGTCCGTGAATCTTAGCGTTTATCTGTGATTGGAGCTCAACGTGAGGTTTGAGGAGGTGAGCGGTGAAAGGATTTTCAATAGCGATATAAAGTGGATACCAGAGGAATGATTCAAAGAGTTGAGATCGTCTACCGACATTGAACCGATTTAATAACGATCTTCTATCTCGTTTAGAAGAATCGTCATTTTTTAGATTATCTTTCGAAATACAAATGTCATCCATGGTTGTTACGATCAAGGACAACAGAACAATCTTTGTTTATGAAAGAATCTGTTTTGTTCTTTTTATTGTTGTTTATTTTTCTTTTTCAAATACAATCATTATCTTATTAATCTTATTCAGCTTTTACTATTGTAAACTAATTATTTTTTTTTCCTTCGATGTTAATTTAATTTGAGGGAAGATATTATGAAGAATAAAGAAGAATACCTTTTACATCGATCGAATGATTCGAATGAGAGTACGATAGAAAGATGACACGGAGAATTACTAGAACACGATGGAGGGGAAGGTCATTCGTTTTTTTCGTCACGACTTTCTTTTCTCATGAGAAGTTGTTACGAACAAGAAATAGGCCATTGGTAAATAACATTCGAAACGATTCACTCGAAGAGAATCACAAGCTCTTCTCAATATCGTACTCTCGATGATTTTGATTGAACTTAATTAACTCTGACAAGTCTCTCGACATAGACTTTGATTATCTGAGGAAATCAATCTTATTAGAAACTTTGTTTATTTTTAAAAGGGATAAGTATCAGGAAAGAAAAAAAAATCTTATATATGTATTCGTGTTTGTTAATGTTCTGAAAATCGATGAAATGATACGGTTGTTGTGTGAGAGAAGAGAGAGAGAGAGAGAGAGAGAGAGAGAGAGAGAGAGAGAGAGAGAGAGAGAGAGAGAGAGAGAAAGAGAAAGAGAGAGAGAAAGAAAGAGGGAGAAAGAGACAAATGAAATCGTTAACACTTTGCCAACTATCTAAATTAGCTTAATTCAACGTTAAACATTATCGTGCACAATAACTTTGATATATGTCCGTTATTCATCATTTGCTTATTGCATTAATATAAATAGAATTTGATTAATTGATTAATTTAAATTATATATATATATGTATAATATAGATAATTTTTAGAAATATATATATATATATATATATATATATATATAATTTAGATAATTTTTAGAAATATATATATATATATATATATAATTTAGATAATTTTTAGAAATACATATATATATATACATGAAAATAAAGATACATATATATGTGAGAATGAGAAATGAGCTAAAATATTATATATACCTAGTACTAAAAGTTTATATTTACTGACGTTTATTCGTATGATACGATCTTTCGAAGTAGTTGTAATATGTTAAGGTAATTGCAAAAGACAGAGCGGCTGCTGGTGTCCAATTATGGAGGAAGTCTAAGTAGGAGATGAAGGAGGAAAAGGAGGAAGAGGAGGAAGAGGAGGAGGAGGAGATAATCATTGGTTAAAGGAGTGCTATGTGAACATCAACGAAGCATCACGAGGACGAGTAGAAGAAAAAGAGAATCATGCTCTCTTAACATTTAACGATTGTGATCTACTAGAAGTTGCACGTTTTTTTGCTCAATCTCGATCTCGATCTTTCTTGATCTTGTCATCGATGACCAAGTTAATTCGATTTACTCAAAGATTTAAAACTTCAACTTCAATCGAATCCAAGTCGTAAAATTAAAAAGAAAATAATAATAAAATCAAATCAAATCGAACCAGTAAATATTGTGAAATGTGGCACGTCACTATTTTCAGATAATATAAAACAAAACAAAAAAACTCGCAATTTATTTTATAATTAAGACAAATGTAAGAATTACATGTGCCGACGGTTGTGTCTTACGTAAGGAACGTTATATAAATATTCGCTTGATTTTTTGTTTATTAAAGTAGATACATGGAATAATCCATAATAAAGATCTCGTGAAATTACTATGAATATTGTCATTGCATGAACAAATTTCACCTTTCGAAACAGCTCGTCATTTTCTTAGAAATTATATACCTAAATCTTTCTCCAAATTTATTAAAAAAAGAAAAAAAAAAGTAGTGTCCTTTAATATAATAATAATATTACTATAGTCAGTAAATTTTTCAATAACTTAAAAATCTATAAAAAAATTCACATAAATCTTGATGACAAATTTCAGATAAAAATATTATCGTTATATACTTATAAATAAATATATATTTTTTTTATTATTAAATTATATATTATATATAATAAGTAATATAATATGAAGTATATTACTTAGAACAATCAAACACTTTTTTAAATTACAAATCTTATAAATATTATTCTATATTATCGTTATATTATTATGAACGATAACATTTTTTAAAATTTATTAACAAAGAAAAAAGAAAAATAAAGAGGGAATGACATAAATTAAAAAAAGATTCGATATAAAGAACAAACTAAGATCAGCAGTAACCAGTAAGGTGTTGCCTCGCAAATTCTAAGGAAGATAGAATCTGCCTGACTGGGGTCATGGATATGCAAGCGAGGAAATGTCACGCGGAGAGATGTCAGACTTGTGGAGAGTCCTTATAGATATATAGAGTCGTACGACCGCGTTCGATCACCTTTTGAGCTAGTACAACATCGTCTTACAAAGAAACGATCGATCGATCGATCAAAAGTCACTTCATTTCATAAAACAAAAAAATATTTACTATTGAAACGAGACTTAAGTATTTTTTCTTTCTTTTATGAGTGATTTTCCTAATTATTTTTATCATTATTTTATCATCATCATCATCATCATCATCATATTTTTATTTTTATTTTTATTTTTATTATTATTATTATTATTATTATTATTATTATTATTATTATTATTATTATTATTATTATTATTATTATTATTATTATTATTATTATTATTATTATTATTATTATTATTATTATTATTATTATTATTATTATTATTATTATTATTATTATTATTATTATTATTATTATTATTATTATTATTATTATTATTATTATTATTATTATTATTATTATTATTATTATTATTATTATTATTATTATTATTATTATTATTATTATTATTATTATTATTATTATTATTATTATTATTATTATTATTATTATTATTATTATTATTATTATTATTATTATTATTATTATTATTATTATTATTATTATTATTATTATTATTATTATTATTATTATTATTATTATTATTATTATTATTATTATTATTATTATTATTATTATTATTATTATTATTATTATTATTATTATTATTATTATTATTATTATTATTATTATTATTATTATTATTATTATTATTATTATTATTATTATTATTATTATTATTATTATTATTATTATTATTATTATTATTATTATTATTATTATTATTATTATTATTATTATTATTATTATTATTATTATTATTATTATTATTATTATTATTAGTAGTAGTAGTAGTAGTAGTAGTAGTAGTAGTAGTAGTAGTAGTAGTAGTAGTAGTAGTAGTAGTAGTAGTAGTAGTAGTAGTAGTAGTAGTAGTAGTAGTAGTAGTAGTAGTAGTAGTAGTAGTAGTAGTAGTAGTAGTAGTAGTAGTAGTAGTAGTAGTAGTAGTAGTAGTAGTAGTAGTAGTAGTAGTAGTAGTAGTAGTAGTAGTAGTAGTAGTAGTAGTAGTAGTAGTAGTAGTAGTAGTAGTAGTAGTAGTAGTAGTAGTAGTAGTAGTACTAGTACTAGTAGTAGTAGTAGTACTAGTACTAGTACTAGTAGTAGTAGTAGTAGTAGTAGTAGTAGTAGTAGTAGTAGTAGTAGTAGTAGTAGTAGTAGTAGTAGTAGTAGTAGTAGTAGTATTTTAAATTTTTTTTTTTTTTAATAATTTAGTCAATTATTCGTAATTACTATAATTTATTATTCAATTTATTTTCTTCTATTAAGTCAAAAGTCACGTCTACTTAGAATTGATCGTACATGAGTGTAAACCAAACGATAAGAATCATTCCGTTGATGATAATACGTTTAAAGTGTAAACCGTTTAAGATGAATCGCGAGCAAATTGTAGGTCGAGAGATCGTGATTTGTGCTTTCTTCAAGGAACGTATTCAATGCACTAACCTATGAGTCACGGCATCGTCGTTCGGCATTTTAGATGTATTATATATTCAATCTCCTCGGAAATCGTTCGTTCTCCCACTTACAATAAATTATTATTATAATAATAATAACAATAATAATAATAATAATTATTATTTTTTTAAAAATAATGTATAAATTATTCGACTAATTAGATCGTATTATACTTTGATTTTAATTGGAATGAAAGTAATGTGATTAATAAGAAATACGTTATATAGAAAAATTTTTAGAGAAAAAATATGATTGAAAGAATGAAAGTTTTTTGCTATGCTTGAAACGGCTTTTGTTTCGACTGAGAAATAAGAGAAAGGTTGAAGAATGTAAATGTATGGTGAGAATATTGATACATAGTACCTACATGATTCATAATCGTTTCTCGTTAAAAAGAAAAAAAAATGAAAGAAAAATAAAAGATTCAATGAATGTCTACTTTTTACTCACCGGAATTTGCACGAAAGTTCCATTGTTTAATTGAGGATAAGAATAAAGTGGTACGACAGGAACAGAACCGTTTTTTAAGAAAATCGGGCCCTGAATCGGTGTAACGTGTACGTCCTTTGGCACACCTTGGTCTTCGTCATCATAATAATCGTCAAAATCGTCGTCGTAATCCAGAACAGCGTGAACGGATGTTTTTGTACCTGGACCACCACCGAATCCTTCGGCATTTACTCTCGTATATCTAAAAGAAGAAACAATCAAAATCGAATAAAATTTCCAACGTAAATACAATAAAAAATATATATATAAACATATATATTTTTTTGCTTTTATTAATTTTTATTAAGATTTTATTAATTAATCTTATATCAATGTAAACTAAATTATAAGATCTTTGACTTTGTAAAAAAAAATATATATATAATAATAAAAAAAAAATAAAGATATATAACAAATAAATTTATATATACATATATTATATATAAATTAATTTATATATAAAATACATACATGCATATATATAATAAAATTATGTTACATATCATATGTCATTATTCTATTAAATAAATCTAATTAATTATAAATACATTTAATATATTTAAATAGTATAATAAAAACAACGTACTGTAATTAATTTTAAATACATTGTAATATATTAATTGATATATATAAAAATTATATTTAGAAAAAAGCGAATATAAAAAAAAGAAAAATCATTTCTTTAAATGCGGAGGAAAGAAAAATTTCTTCGAAGTCTTTAGAAACTAATTACTTCGTATTTCAAGATCGGTTTATCCTGCTCGTATAAGATAATGAATCGATTCGAAACGATTATAAGCAATGACATAATTACTTACGTGTTCACAAGAACGAACAGGTTATATATAACTACGATACTTATAAACGATTCCGAAAGAAATTCGTCAAGATATTCGAAGCACGTTGTACAAAAGAACGCTCGAGAGGATATTGTTACGTAAATAAGTTCGAGCTCAATTAAGGTTACTAAAGCGATACGCTTTCGCTCGGCCACAAACGGAAATGGATTGGGATGAAAAACGACCTTGGCTTCTTGTCAATGAGAAAATATAACAATATTGAACAAAGAAAATCATTTAGCTCGAAGATTAATACGTTCGAAAACCTTTTATAATACGATATTCTAAAAGCAGGGTTTCGATATCATTAACATGTTGCAAAAATTACGACAGCTCTCTTACAACATGATTTTCTTATAAATATCCCTATAATACAATTTCCGTATCAATTCGACTTAATTTAGGACAACTCATCATATATCACAATTTCGCTTAACACGATTTCGATATAACAATGGAATTAAATTAAATGTTATAGGAGGAGGTTTGAATCTACATAGATTTATTTAAAAAGCCTTACCCATTAGGTCTATCAGGATATCCTTCCTGTTCGGAGACCCTGCTGACTTCTAAAGATTTTCTATCGTGTTCCTCATTTTGTATTCTTTCTTGTTGTTGTTGTTGCTGTTGTTGTTGACGTTGGGAAGAAGGAGCTGGAGGAGGTGGTCTCATTTGTTGCTGTTGTAACTGTGGTTGCTGTCGAGGTTGAGTCCTTCGAAAATCTTGATTATAATTCGTATATCTTGTATCCTGAGTCGACGAAAATGAAGATTGTTCAACATAAAGCTCTGGTCTTCTCTGTTGATTCGTCTGACGTTGTCTTTGTTGTTGTTGTTGTTGCTGTTGTTGTTGCTGCTGTTGTTGCTGGTGCTGTTGTTGTCTTTCTTGTTGATATCTCAACGGTGGTATATAAGGCTCATTTTGAAAAGGTTCACGATTGTCATAATTAGTAGGTGGTGCTGGTGGAAGGACAGCATTCAAACGAAGATTATTAACAGTTGAATGTCCAGTATAAAGAAATGATGACGGCGTTGCCGTGTGATAAGGTAAACTAAAATTCATCAAGGACATTTCGTTTCTTTTTTGTCTTTTTTTTTTATTTTTTTTTTGTTCGGAAAATATTAGACGATATACTTCTTTTTCTTTTTTCTTCTTTTATTCTTTTTGACAAAATCAAAAAGAAAAGTCGTCAAAATTTTTCGAATACTCGAATACACATTTGTTCTCGATTTTGACGTTCGAACGATGATTCGATATTTAAGATTGTCTCGAAGAAAATCATGATTGTTGAAACGCAAATGATCGAAGAGAAACGAGTTAACTGTCGACTCGAAACAATCAGAAGATCTGTCTTATTCGATCTCTGCATCGCAACATCCTCGATAAGATCGCGATTTTCTTTATACTTTGTTATATTGTCTTCTTCTTATTATTCTCCTTCTTTTTCTGTTTCTCCTTCTTTTTCTTCTTCTTCCTTCTCGGGTTTTTCTTCCGACGTATTGTCTCGTTATGAAGACGTCAACCTGCAATTACATAGCTATGAATAATTCGCGGATGCATCGACCGCGAATAATCGAAGATTAATTATCTACTATGATCTTTTTCTCTTTCTCCCTCTCTCTCTCTCTCTCTCTCTCTCTCTCTTTCTATTTCTATCTCTCTCTATCTGTCTGTCTGTCTGTCTGTCTTTTTTCTTTCTTTCTTTCTTTCTTTTTATCAAGATGACGTGGTAAGACATGGAAAAAGAGATCCAGTGAAACATTCGCATGAATTATCATCTTTTCCAACATCCGGTAGATATACTCAATAACGCATAGGTTTTTTTTTAATCATGATAACATTCCATTTAATGAATGAATTAAACGTCTCGATCAGGATCGATCGATCGACGTAATCGTTTGTAAAAGAAAAGATACAAGAAAGTAATCTTCTCTTAAAAAAAGGGAAAAAAGATATGTGTGTGTATTTATTATCGAGAGAATTATCGCGAATCTAATTTTAAATGAATTATTTCACTTGCGTAATCGTTTTTTTAGACAAAATTCCTATAAGTAATAAATAACTCATGTCATTAGTTGAAGTTATTTAATTATATTCGTCAAGCAAAATCAACCTAACCGATAATCCTCGTTTCTACTTTCTTTTTTAGTAATTTGCGTGGGTGTAAAGACACGACACGATTTTCACCTCTCGTATCTTATTTTTTTTTTTTAATTTCTAATAAAATCTTCATTTTATATAAAACAAAACTAATTTTGTAGTATATATATTTGAAAAATTATAGATAAACGTTGAATGTATTAAAACGAAATAAAAAAGTTTTTAAAAAGTAAAATATTCGTAAAATTATAAAAAATTAGAAAGAATGCGATTGATATCATATAGATCAATAATAATAATACTAATACATACGTGTACGCACGCATGCAGGCACACACACATTGAATCGTACTTTTTAGAAAGGAGGATTAATAACAATAGCGTTCATTGTCGTACTCTAAGCGACGTTATAATATATCGTTTAGTGTTGTTACTAACGACAGTGACATAGTACACTCGTTACGATCTATAGGTATACTCTTTGATTTTTTCATTCTTCTATATCTCTCGAACTTGATCTACCGATTAAAACGATTTAATAAAAGACGACGACGGTCGTAGCACGAGTGTAAACGTACTACGTAACCTATGTACTTATTATACTATGACTGTCTATCGACTCAGCTGTTAGTTTTAGTTTGCAAAAAGAACCTCTTGAATTCACGATCTATCATAGGTGAACCGTGTACCAGGTTAACCAATGTGGGCGTTCTGTAATCATTTTATTCGACAATGAACGATCCAAAGATAAGATCTATATGCGATAGGAAACAAAACGTTAAATCATTAAGTACGTTTATGTTTAGCAGAAACTTTGTCTTTATTATAATTTTCTATTATAAACGCCTACTATTTGAAAAAGTGTTACAAGAATTGAAAATAATATGAGTCGTTTAAAAAATTTAATTATTAAATATATTTGAAAATAATTAATTGTTATTACATTCCGAACATTTAAAGTATTACTTGCTACTGGCAATTGATTTTTTACTGTTAATACTATTCGTGAATCATCCTAAGAATGTAATATATTATAGTATATTTCTGTTTCATTTTATAACTTTTGCTGATCTCATTTACGTTCTTCGAACGAACAAACGTGAGTTTTAATAATGTTTATGTCGCCATGTAAGAGTTTTTTCCACATCCTATTTACTTTTATGATATTACTTGGAAGACAGGTGTAAGATATATCGAGAAAAAAAAACAAGAGAGAGAGAGAGATAAGATGATTTTTATCATGAAAATTGTGTGAAAATCATGCTGTGTTTTATGACGCATTCGTATAAGTACATGAAAGAGAGAAAGAAAGAAATTAATTATTATGTTGAGTGAGTTTATTACACACATACACACACACACACACACATATATATATTATAATGACAAATATAAATTAGAGAGTGAATGAGGAAAGAGAGAGAGAGAAAGAGAGAGAGAGAGAGAGAGAGAGAGAGAAAGAGAGAGAGAGAGAGAGAGAGAGAGAGAGAAAGAGAGAGAGAGAGAATGAGGCGTGGACAAGAACGATTACTACAGTGGCCCTCCGTCGAACGATAAAGTATCGTCGGAGGGCCGGTCCATGTCGTCGTACCTCACTTTCCCTCTTGGATTGCTTTCTTCGAAGTTTACCATGCAAAGCGTGTTTTCGCCTCGAACAAACCATCTTGCATCATCAACGGAAGCGAAATCTTTCTGCTCCTTTCTCCGAATTTTAATAGATCATTCGATATTCCTTTCATATATTTTGGTCAACTTCAATCGAAATTTAAAGAAATTCTTCATTTGACATCGATGTAACATATACATTTATTCAATTTCAAGTAAAATAAGAAAAAAAGATACTTATAAATTCATGCTTAAATAAAAAACTAGAATTTATACAGATATATAAATTTTATATAGTATCTAAATATATAGATATATTCGTATAAAATATTAATTAGATTATAATAATTAATAATAAAATATTAAAAAAGTAGAATATATTTCTTTAAGAATATAGTATTATATTATAAAACTATATATAATACTATAATCTTAATAATATTAATAATACTAATGATACTATGTTGTACATATAATATTACAAAACAATATATACAAATATATTATATATTTCTTATATTATATATGTATATATACATATATATTATTAGTATAAATATATTATAAATATTATCGCAGCATAAAAATATTATATACTGCTTATATTAGAAAGTATATATGTTTGTACAAATTTATGTATGTATATATATAAACATTAGTAATATTATTAATATTATATAAATATATATATGTATATATATATATAGTAGTATTATTCATATTATATAAAATAATAAAATATTTATATATACTCTCCTTTAATATCATAAATACTATTATATATAAATATTATATTATAAATATACTATTCGTATAAAATATCAAAATTAGGCTCATCAATCAATCTCGTCTAATTAACCAAACATTCTATGCGATCGTAACACCAAAAGAGAAAACATTTCTTTATTTTTTAAGAACGATCTTCGACTCGCGTACATAAATAAAAGTTACATACATGAATACATACATACCTTGTCGTCCTTTGAATTCCAGACAAATGAAAAATAATCAAAGAAGAAAAAGAAGCATAATACGGAACAAAAGTTGGTCCCGTTGAAATGGAAGGTCACGAATTTGAACGAAAAATCTCTCTGGAGCTTTCACTCTCAATGAAAGTTTCCTTTCTCTCTCTTCTTTACCGATAGAGAAAGAGGAAAATAGTAAATAAATAAAAAAAATAATCAAATAATCAAATAATAATAATAAAATTAATAATAATAATAATAATAATAATAATAATTGATGATAATAATAATACAGGAGAGAAAAGATAAGAAAAAAAAATTAAAAAAACTGAGAATAAATGATGAGGTTCTTAAAAAACGTGTCGAAGCACGTGCGAGCGCCGGCGCGTTACACGTCCTTTATATGATTGAACGTGTGCACACACACACATTGACACTGACAAGAACCACGCACCTCGAGACGCTTCGTTGGTCGAGCGACAACTGAAAGAGAGAATCGTTTTAACATCGAGCATAGAACCACCACACGGCAATATGGAATAAGGAGAGGTGTCCCTCGATCATGAAGAGCAACGGTGCTTGGACATACACATATACACACATACACACATACACACATACACACATATATATATATAGATATATACATATATTCATGCATACATATATATATACATGCATACATATATATATACATGCATCATACATATATACATATATACATACATATATACATATATACATGTATACATACAGCACAAACAGTATCCATACAGCTTCTCTCTTTTACTTTCTGTCCCTCTCTTCCTCCTCCTCCTCTTCTTTTTCTTCCTCCTCCTTTTTCTCCTTCTCTTCTTCCTCTTCTTCTTCTTCTCTCAATAGATCGTCGCGGCGCCTCCCACTTCTCATTCGACGCCTCTCCCTTTCTTCTCGTGGAATCTCGTTTGCCACCGACGCGCTTCTCTTCTTCATATCTTTTTTCTTTTTTTTTCTTTTTGTTTCTTTATGATTGTTGAATAGCATTGCCTTAGTATTAGAATTAGTTTATAATTATTATTCGGTGCGCGCTTATCGGCTAATGAAATATCGTGAGTGGGTAGATTCTATAAAATTTTTGTATATATGTATATATTTTTGGTGAAATAAATAAAAATTAAAAATTAATTTATAATTTGTATAAATTATATTGATCTAATTTTATAGGCAATAATATTTATTATTACTTATAATAATATTTATATTTAGAAATAAATTTAATATAATTGTTTTATAAATATGTAGATCGTAGATACTTAAATATGTATGTTTGTGAGATTCGAGTTCTCTTATGATGAAAATTATTTTATTTATGTTAACTTCTTTTTTATTTTTATTTTATTATGTCAAATTTCATAACGACATTGATATTTATAAATTAACATAATGAATTGTTTAAATATTTAGATACTATTCTTTAGATACTTAGATTAAATATATATATATATATATATATAGAGTTTGAATTGTTTTATAGTTAAAATTATTTAATCAATTTCTTTTAGTTTGATTTTATAATAACTAAATCTCATTGAAAGTAAAAGTAATTTTATTAGAAAAAATAGAAAAAGTAAATATTGTAATAAAAACAAACAATGAATATGGAAATAGATGGACGAATAAGAATTATTATTATTTAGAAATTTTCTTTATTAAAAGATAAAAAAATTAAAATGGTCATAAGTATTATAGATCGATAAGGGATGCTGCATTTTAAAGATTTATCTTCTAAGATGATATCTTCTTTGAGAGGAAACATTTATGATTATTATCGTTTTTTTATCATCATTATATAGTCTGTTCTTTCTTTCTTCTTTTGGCTTCTGTCTTTCCAACAACGATGGTTTCTCCCAACGACGACGACAACGGCAGCAGTGGGCCATATCGCGCTCTACCACCTTTCATTTCTGTGCACGTGAACTGACGTAACCGTGTAACTGTATCGGAATCTCCAACCTACGTTCACCTTCTTCTTCTTCTTCTTCTTCCTCTGCTTTTTCTTTTTCTTACTAGATCTTAGATGAACTCTAATATCGTACTTTTCGACGAGAATATCGTAATCATTTCGTTATGTTGCATATGAAATGGTACATTTCAAGTGTCATAACTTTAAAAATCGTACATCAATGAATATTTATTTTGCAATCGATGAGTAAGTACTCTGATTTAAAAATAAAACTTTGTACTCCCATAGGAATAATTTCTTGAAACTGTAAATTTCATCTACATTTGTTTTTTTTTTTTTAATTAAAACAATACATAGATATAATAATAAAAAAAAACAATCGTCCCTAAAACAACAATCCTTAGAGAAATCTGAAAAAATAAAATCTCGAGATTATAAATTTCACTTAGGTTCAACCATTATTTTTTTATTAATAAAAACAATGTAATTGTAACAAAAAATAAATATTTTGAATTACTATCTATAAAACATAAATTTTGAAAATAATAAATTTCATTTTTAGTGCATCTTCTATTATTATAAAAACAATATAGATTTAATACGAAAAAAAACAATCCCTATAAAAAATATATTCTCGAAATCGTAAATCTCTTAGTAATAATTTTATTAACGAAACTTTATAATTAAAGTAAAAACAATGACATATGGTAATGATTATCTGTCATTTAGAAAAACAATTTAATTAATTTACACATATATATGGAAAATTTTAACTTTATTTAACTTGGTAATCCCACGAAATGAATAATTTCGATAATTTCACAAACAGAACTAATGAAATATTTTGAAAGATTATTATTACTATCTCTAACAACATCATTAATATTAATACGTATCGTTGTGCATGCGATTATTCGTTTCGCTTGTAATTCTCAAGCCAACGTAATGATTTTTTATTGGCCTTAGTGGGTGCCTTTTGCAAATAAAAAACATAAATCTTGCGTCGTTTATACACGTCGACAATCTCTCTCTCTCTATTTCTCTCCCTCTCTCTCTCTCTCTCTCTCTCTCTCTCTCTCCCTCTTTTTCTCTCTTTCTCTTTTTCATTTTTCCTCTTTTTCTGTCTCGCTTCGATTATTACATAATAATAGTTTTAATACATTTATAAACCATTTAAATATTAACTTTCTTTACCGAACTTTCGATATTCTGATATGCTGTCCCTAATTTTTGTATCAACTACCAATTCTCGACATATTTTTTTCTTCATAATAATAATGAAAAAAAAAAGAAAGAAAAAAGAAAAAATATCGATTATAATCTGTAATTTAGTTCACGTAAGCACGATTAACCAACCGATAATTTTCATAATTACAAACTGTTTTCATAATTTTTTCTGTTTTTTGTTTTTTTTTTTTCCTGTAAACACCAAAAGGGCTGCTGAATCTCCTTTGAATTTTATCATCAAGTCATCGATTTCGTCACAAAACGTCCGTCGCCGTTTTGTCGAAGTGATCGTCCGTGACTCGACCGATATCTCTTGCTATATCGAAATTTTATATTTAAAAGTACTTCCTACGAAATTTTTGCTCCACCCACTCTCTTACAAGGTGACTTGCTCTACGTTCTTTTAATATCCACACTGACTTAGAAAAGGAAAGAAAAAGCCTCGCAAATTTTATCAGTTTGATCTGAAAGTTAGCGTCTATCGAATATCGATCGTCGTTCGAATCAAATCAAAGATCTTGACTACCGATTGACCAATCTCAATTAATATAAGTATTTTTTGACGTATTTTTTTATGTTAATATTGTTTCGAAAATATGTGGGCAATTTGAAAAAACTCATAACTTTCGTTTTTTTTCGTGTTTTTTCTTTTCTGTCATAGTTTCTTTTTTTAACATATAAATTTCATTCTTAAAGCAAAAAAAAACTACAGATCTTTCAATTTACCATATGTAAGATCTATCGTTTCTCATTATCGTTATCATTATAAAAATTAATGTATTTTTTTGGAACAGGTCCATTTTTTTCTCTTTGTTTAAATAATACAATTAACAGAACTTTTTTAAGTAGACTTGACAAATTGGTAACATCAAATTATCTACTTTCTAGATTATAACACAATTTTCGGTCCACCCTGTATAATTACTCTTGAAATCGGAAGGTAAAAGATATAGAGATATGTACAGACCGGTAAAACCGGCCATAAGCCGAGTAAATGAAAGAGATTGAATTTTCTCAGCTTGTGAGTCAACCACGACGGCTGTTATTGTAAAATATTTCTCTCTCTTTCTTTCTCTCTCTCTCTCTCTCTCTCCTTCTCTGTCTTTCTCTTCCTCTCTCTCTCTCTATCTCTCTCCTTCTCTGTCTTTCTCTTCCTCTCTCTCTCTATCTCTCTCCTTCTCTGTCTTTCTCTTCCTCTCTCTCTCTTTCTCTCCCTCTCTCTTTCTCCCCCCCCTCTCTCTCTCGCTTCCCCTCTCTGTCTTTCTCTTCCTATGAATACACTACAAATAACCACGATAGGGGTCGAAAAGAAGAAATAAAAAGATAAATATAAGAAAAATTATGTGAACATTTAATCTTAAATTCAAGTAGCGTGACGCACTGTTTCCCAACAATCTCTCTCTCTCTCTCTCTCTCTCTCTCTCTCTCTCTCTTTCTCTTTTACAACGTGTTCGAGAAGACGATGTGTGACCTTATAATCTACAAGACCACCCTGGCAGATCGTTCGCACGTCGTCAAGGCAAAAGCAATCAAATTAGCCTTGTAAAACCTCTCAATGAAAATGTTTTTACATAATTAGAAATTATCTTCTTAATCATTATCATTCACTGTTCTTTCCTCTTTCTTTTCTAAGAAACAAATATTTTTAATTATAATGTTTTGAAACATAAATACTGATATATATATAGTATTATATATATAAAGTATTTTGTTAATTATATTTTAATAGATATTGTCATTTTATACGATTCGTTCGATCGATAGAATTTAAACACTAATAATAAAATCGTATATTAATAATAGTTTTCTATAAATATTTTATATCTATTAGATAAATGTTTTAATTTTATTGCATTTGATATCTAAAATTATATATATAAAATTTGATATGTAAAAATTTATATATTTAATAATCTAAAAAATATATCTTTATATCTGCAATAAGAATATATTCATAAAAAAAATATACAAAACGACAAAAAAAAATATATATTTACAAAAAACTATAAAAACAATAAATTTATCAATATTATTTATTTGTTATTTTATACATTTGCAATATATTTTTTTAATTATATTGCAGTATATATTGCAGCATATCTTTCAAAATATATATGTATAAAAAATTACTCTGTAATGAATATTGTACAAATATTTCTTTTTCTTTTTTCCTTTTTCATTTCATTACATAATAAACTCGTTATATAATTATTACAAAATATATATATACACAGAAAGAAAAATATATATTCTATATAATATCAAGTAAGACAATTGATTATTTATTAAAAATAGATCAGTGTTAACATCGAAAAGAATCGAAA